TTTTTTTTTTTTTTTTTTTTTTTTTTTTACAGCAGGGGATGCGGATTTGAAAAAGTTTAGGGTTGTCAATTTGTTACACTGGTTTTTAGTCTGCACGTGTTCATGTCCAATTTTTATTCAATAAATGAGTTATGCCACTGAACTCTCTGGTCTCCATTGATTTGAACCGTTGTAACTAAATAGAACAGCACAACATATTTGATGTATGAAGAGGAGAAAACGCATTGGTTTTGGAAAAGTTTGGTCCATATGATGTGCGCATGACATGATTTGTGTACCCTAAATGTGAAGCTGATTATTGCAGGGGGTAAATCCTTAAAGTGTGTTGTGACAGCCAGAGGGTGCTGTCGGCCTTACTAATACAAGTGCTCATGTCTCTGAGCAGTCTTGTCAAATTTCGAGTTGGCTCTTAAGACTAGTCACATTCACCAGGCGATGGTTTAGGGAACAAACCCACATCGGTTTTGTCGTTGTCCGCATCTCTTTTGTTCCCCATACTGCTCAATCTGTCACGGAGTGGTCAAAGTTCCCAATCTTCAATTAAGTACTTTATCATGTTGCTGTTGCACAATAATTAAACCTGCCAGAAAGCCCAATGCGCACACACGCGCACGCACGTGCGTAAACTGACAGAGCAGTCTGATGCTTGCGTTGCAGATTTTGCTACAGGAAGTCAGTCCACACTGCCAAAGCATTGGGGAGCACTCATCTGTGATGTGCATTAAAGCACCTTCACATACAGGACACACACATGCCATAATATCCACCGTTGGCCTTACAAATCTGTAAATCCTTCCTGAGCTCTTTATATAACCTTTTCTATGGCAGAATATACTATATTTTCAATGACAATTTTATACATATGGATTGGCTATGTTGTAATATTCATATGTTCATTCTGCAACATATTGCCCTTCTGCCCAGTTGCTCTCCCGGAGTTTTCTTGGGGGGAATTTTTCCTTAATCCGATGTGAAGGTCTAAGGAAAGACAGTCGTATGTTGTACGGATTGTAAAGCCCCCTGAGTTTCTTCCTGACACTTTATATCATACTATACTAGGACATTTTTAAAGCCTTCTTTAAAATATGACTTTTATGACTGACCTTTTGGAACATACACTATGACTTTTCAAGATGCTATAGGCTACTATGACTTACATGACCCACAACGATCACAGCAGACTGATCGAACGAGAGGGATCCAGTCATAAGGGTTTGGAGTTTTGGATCTTCTTGTGAAGCTGCAGAAAAAACATTTAAATTCTTCAATTATTTTTTTTTGAATATATATATATATATATATTTTTTTTTATTTCAAGTGACAAAAACCAAACCCAGGAGTGGAAAGACACAAAGCGAGAGGAAGAGATACTTAAGATACTTAACTAGAAAATATTTATTGTACAATTGTCAGGGGAAAAGAAGGCAGTGTGAGACATGCAAAAGGTGCAACAAGCAAATATACAATCCATACCAATATCAGATAACTGTCAATAAAATACAGCATTCATGTTTTTGCAGTATTAATTCATAGTAATATAAACACAATGTAGGAGGAAGGGGAAGACAGAAGCCACATTCATTGTTTCAGTAGCCTTTCTAGACATCATTGAAGTGTTACAACAGTGCTTGTACAAAATAAATATTGACCTTAAATGAAAAATCAAATATAAAATCAAACGTAATTTAACACTAAAGTTTCCTACGATTCTTTACACAAGGCTCAAAAATGTTTTTATACATTCAGAAAATGTAACACGTTCATCTTCACATATACAGTTTGTGATTGTTGATATCTACAGTCTTGTTTCCGTTCTCTCAACTGCAAATGGAATCTCTTTGTGCCTTAAAGTAGTGAAAATAACAGCTCACTTCTCTCAAGTGTGAGACGACAGACAGACAGACAGACAGACAGACAGACAGACAGACAGACAGAC